ACGTGACTGTTCCTTTTGCAAATATTAGTCAATCATCTCAGAATTCATTTTTCCTGTATTTCCGTACTTATTGCTTTCTCGTTCTGTTCTTTCTTCTTGATCTTCTTGAACTTCTGCTATCAAATATTCTATTCCTGACTAGAGTTATATACTACTTATGTCTACATAAGTAGCACACACCACAGTTGTAAATTACTGATATCTAACGAAAATAGTTTTACGCTTATTCTAATTGACAACGAAGATTAATTAAGATATTGTCAACAAAAAATGCATAATAACAATCAAATCTTCACTAAATGTTGTTTACTTGTATCTTCCGATTGTTATTTAGGACTGCAATCGATCAGTTTCTAATTGGCATATGTGCATTCTGATCAATTGTAGTCCGAAATAACAATGGGATGATTCAAGCAAACAACACCTAGTAAAAATAATTTCACCTCATTGCACAAGCAGTTGACTATTAGGACTCAGTAGTTAAGTGGACGACGCGATGGTGCTTGAATAGGATGGTGCTGGGTTCGAGTCCCGGAGTGAACATCAACTCTGAGATGCAGGTACATGCGGCTGACGACTCCCAAATTGGACGAAACGCGCGTCCTGGACTCTACTTCTAACCACTATCCATCTTTTCTTAATCATCAAATCTGTCTTTTATTCGGGAACTGTTAATAGAGAAAAATAAGAGAATTGTATAATAATCAATTCTTTCGTATAATAAAGTTTATCTTGTTGTTTAGACCTATTATCTCTTGGCTAAAATATATTGTTGTATGTTTGTCAGGGATGATTTTCTTAACAAAACTATGAGCGGATAAGTTTTGAACTTGCTGTATATATGGTAATAATAATAACAGTAATAGTAATGATAGTATGATGATTATATCAGCTGTTTCGTGTATAATTAACATTTCAGTTTCTTACAACTAGGAAACCAAACTAAAATACAAATTCTTTCAATGGATAAGATTGCCCAGGGCAATTTTTCCCTTTCTAACTAACCAAGATATCTATCTATCTATCCAAAGAAATTATAACTTTTAATTCGTTCAACATGTTTTGTTTTTGTTTTACATTGTAATTGGTAAATATCACAACATTGTAACAAACTATGTTAGATTATGATCAGCAGACTATATTTTCCCACGAAATCATGCTTCTATTTTATTTTTCTCTTTTATAGAGGAATTCGATTTATTTAGGAAAATATGTTGGTTATTATTGAGACAACTAATTATTTCCATAAGTTTTCCCTTTTTTTCCCTTATTGTTATACATTCTTTTATGCTTGTCAGTTTCAGAAACAAAGAAGGAACGAATCGGGTGAAGAAATGCCTTTGGTTGAGGTTAGACACTAACACCATTGGATGCTGGCTCAGTAGCCTAGTAGGTTAAGCGTTTGCACGCGAGACTGAGGGCCCTGGGTTCGAACCCCGCGAGCGGGATCATGGATGGGCACTGCTGACGAGTCCCACAATAGGATGAGAACAGTAGTATAGTAGAATAGTAGTTATGTAAGAATTAAGAGATCATTGTTGAGAATAAGTAAAATACAAAGTTCAAAAAACAAAAAATGGAAGAAATAAGAAAATAGTTTATCAGTGTTGTGCTACAGACGCCCATATACCGATGGCAAAGGTCACGAAAGTGGTTGTAAAAACTTCTTTTCGATGCAAAGGTTAGGTTTATGAACATGGATTGCAATCGCTTCAGCAATGTGCAAACGACGAACTCGTAAACCATGTGGCATATTCGATGAAATATGGTAGATAACTTTAAAAGCTTTATTCAGTTCAACTTGACGACATGTGTCAACCAAGTGAGCGAGAATAGAACTCTTAATCATTTTTACCTGTCCTTTGCTCAACCACGATGGATGGTGCTCTGTTATACGATGACGACCATTCATCAAAATATTCTGTTCTTTCTCTTTTTCATATTTCTTCGCTCGATTCGTTCCTTCTTTATTTACCAAAAGTCGAAATGGGAATTTTCACAAAGTTTCACAGACCATCAATGCAGTAGTTTATTTTCTCGAGTAAACATAAGGGAATACATTTAAAAACAAAGTTTTATAGTGTTTAATTATCTAGCTATATGTTGTATTAGGAATTATTTAAACATTTAGTTTGGTAAAGTGAAATCGTACAATATGGAGTTTGTGTAAAATTTTCAAACTTTATAAAGATCATGGATCGATCTATATTTGATAGCTATTGAAAATTTTGAAACATCTAACAGATATATCATCTTGGAGTTAAACTTCTTGGCAGTACATATTCAGACTCTGTAATAGGGTAACAAACCACGTGCCAAAGCCTTATCATGGAACTATGTATCCTGGGCTCGAGAACAGGAATGCCCAATTGATGAGGAGTCGAACAATGCTAACTGCTTAGTTTCAATGGATAAGGTTTGGTTTAATTCACTTTCAATTGTTAAATCTATTTCAATTCATCAATGATAGATATAAAAATGTATTGTAAATTTGAAAATGTAACAACTATAAGCTCATGTTTAATATATTTGAATTATGGTTAGCATTAAGATCCAGAATTTGAATGTCATCCTATCTTACTTACTTACTTACTTGCACCTGTTACTCCTCGTGAAGGAGCATAAGCCGCTCACCAGCATTCTCCATCCAACCCTGTCCTGGGCAATCCTTTCTAGCTCCGTCCAGTTGTAATTCATCCTTTTCATATCTGCTTCTATTATCCGACGCAATGTGTTCTTTGGCCTTCCTCTTTTTCGCCTCCCTTCAGGGTTCCAAGTTAGGGCTTGCCTCGTGATGCAGTTTGACGATTCGCTTAATGTCATCCTATCTAGAGCCTAACAAATAACTAATATCAACATAGAGACTGAAATCTAATACCTTTCACTTCAAATATCATAGAAAGAAATTATACACAAAACTATTGAGATCAGATAACTGTTGATCATTCTAATTAGTATAACATGTTTATCAATCAGATCAATGTTGTTTATGCTTTTTCAGTCTAATTAATTATTGAGTTCAATTTAATATTATAATATCAGCTTGGCTGAAATATTTTCAATACAGTAAATCAACTAACATTTTGCTGCAATCTAGAATGTGTTTTTTTTAAGCAAAGATGAATAGTGACTAGCAGTGGAATCCAGTTTGACGTGCGTTTCGTTCTATTCCACTGTTAGTCATTATCCATCTTTGCTTTAAAATATACTTGTGACATAAGACTATACCGAGGCAATTCACACATGATGCGCATATGCCAACATGAGACTGATTAATTACAGTCCTAAATAACATTGGGAAGAGACAAGTAAACAATACCAAGTGAATATAATTTCACCTCATTACACAAGCAGGTGACTATCAGGGCATCGTAGCTAAGTGAATAACGCGATGGTGTTTAAAGAGAACGGTACTGGGTTCGAATTCCAGAATGAACATCAACCCTGAGAGGTAGATATATTCAGCTGTTGAGTCCTAAATAGGATGAAACACGCGTCATGGATTCCACTGCTAACCACTATCCATCTTTGCTCTAAAAAATGCTTGTGACTTCAGACAATATCGATACAATCCGTACAGGATGCACATATGCCAATATGAGACTGATCAATTACGGTCCTAAATAACAATGGGAAGATACAAGTAAAACAACATCAAATGAATTTAATTCAGAATATTTTTGTTTTAATTTTTAATTTTTAATCTCTAGATTAACAAATATAAGAGACATTTTTTTACAACATAGTTGTTACCAACTAAACGGAATTAATAAAATATAGAGAATACATAATCCTTAGGGATAAAATAGAATAAATACGTATATCACTAACCTAAAATATGATATAAAGTTCATATAAAACCGATGATAATCAAGAATTTTAATTAGAACAATATAATTTGATAATGAGTAATTTACCCAACTAAATATACACGCAAATTGTTGTACACGTAAAGAGCTCAATATTTCAAGACATGGATTATAGTTAGAAAGATACATATATCATAAAACATTTCGTTACAAAGTTTTTATGGTATATAGAGGAGTGTTTATGGTGATTAATTGAAGTTGTTCATATGGTTACAAATGATGAAACGTTATAACAGTTTGATTTCATCCAAGTAGGAGATGAAATATTTATCATCAGTTACTTTAAGCTATAAAGCGTCGATCATCTAATTTCATAATGATAACTATTTTACTTCAGATATTCTTGTAGGTCATAAATGACAATTCATGAAACTCTCAGTAACTCATTTCAAACTGGGTCACTAGTAAGGGAGATTATATGATTATTAAATAGGTTTTATGGAGCTCTTAGCAACAATCCAAAAGAGGAGCCAGGAAAAAAGTTGATTGTAGATCCCTCGTTGTTGGTCTATATTCCACGGTGGTAACAAGCTTAGGTAACTAAGGGTGTTTGTGAAGATATGTTATGGTAGGAGTGAAATAGATTTCATTGGATGATCAATACATAATTTTATAATCAACTAATGTCGAGAATTCTACAATTAAATGAAAATCCTGTGATCTTAAGAATAACCCTGAGATTTGAGAATCCTACATTCAATTCATTAATGTTTGAAGGTGAGTAGTTTGATACTAGGACGAGATAGCAATCGAGTGTGTCGTGGTTTATAATGGCACCTCCTCTGAGTTTAGTCTGTGATGGATACCACTTACAAATTAATTATTGATTATTTTATGGCATTCCCATTTGTTTTTTCTCCCACGAAGTTAAACCTTTTTATTAAAACAACTATTGAAGAAATGAATTAAATCTCATGACTAAGCAAGTACTGAAGCTTACGAATATTTAGATATCGTTACTGACATATTGTATCCGCTTTAGAAAAAACAAGATTTCAAAATTACTAAAACGAACGGTCATTTTTTTACGTTTTACAATTTCAGTTAACAATTTTACTTAACCCCAGTGAAGTTTTTCATTTTACTGTGAACAATTTCCTTTTTTTCCAACTTCTCTCTCATTGACACTAGAAACTACCTATCGCTCCTGATGTAACCGAAGAAGAATTAACACCTGAAGAAATATCAAGACGTAAAGAATTCAAACAAAAACGTCGTTTGGTAGACTTAGAAGGTGCTGATGGATTAAGTTTGAAAGCTGTTCTAGCACATCGTGTCTCTTTGCCCGGTGTGGAAGGTGACGATGAGGTAGAAATGGAAGCTGAGAAACATGTAGAAGAAGAAGAAGACCATGACGAAATGAAAGCTACTGATCAACAATTTGATCAAACAACTAAGCAAAATTCCAGTGGATCTATCCATGCAACGAATATTGATGATTCACTTTCATTACTGTCCAAATCGTCCAAACACAAATCCGATATTGAATGGAATTTCTCTAATATGGAACATGAAACAATTATCGATAAATTATCGAATAGAAAATCTGATCAATCGGATAGTAGTTGTGAAACAACAAGTATTTCATATTCAGTTCCTAATATTGTGAACAAATTGTCAACTTCAACGATTCAAACAGTAGAAGAACAAACACCACCACCACCACTAATGACAACGATAAAAATCAATAAAGATAACAGAAAATAACTTGCTATTCTTCCATTATACCAATTATCCTCAAATGATTATTGTAGGTCATTATCCATATTACATCACATCAATATTTTTCACATTGTGTGTCTCTGTTATTCTCAACATAATCTTGACATGTAAAGTATGTTAAAATTTTACTGTTAACATTATTTTTTTTCTCTGGATTTTAGTCGTTTAATCAAGTATGTTGAGTCGAGATGGTTTCCTCTCTCTCTCTCTCTCTCCCTCTATCTCATTGTTTCCCTACAAGTTATCAAGCATTTTAGTACTTTGAATAAGAATACTCTTGTGTGAAGTGCTTGTATACGGAGAGGAAAATATTTTTTCAATATTATATACAATGTATTATTGCATTTTTATACTTAATTTCTTTTATCTATATATTTTGTTATCTTCTGATATTGATGTTAATCATAGTTTATTTGTTTATTTAATCATCTATGTACTCATTTAAATTACTTGCTTACTTACATACCTGTATACACCTACATGTTGTAGTTGTCGGCTAATGTTTCATATAAGAAGAGATTGTTTGTATTTGTGTGTAATGTGATTTTTCAACATTAGCAATATGTTGCCTAAAGGTGAAGATATATAACGACAATAGTAATAATAATAATAATAGTGAAGTAATAGTTTAACAACATTCTTCAAATCAATGTCAACTTATATGAGAGTAACTAATGAGTAAAATAAAGTGAAAAAAACAAACAGTATCAAGCATATGGATTGATATCTTTCATCAGTTGTTCTTTGAAAATATACTTTTGGCAATGAAAATATTCCATTCTTCCTCGTTCTCTCTCTCTCTCTGTGTGCGTGTGTGTCTTAGTATATATCTATATATAGAGAGATGTGTGTGTGTGACTGTGAATAAGGGAATATAGTGTTGACAATGAGATGTGAATGTTGTTTTCTTTACATGATTGAATAATGTTGTTATTATTATTATTATTTTAACACCGGAAGTAGCACAGTAATATATGTTTGTCTGTTCTCTTTTATTTTTGTGATAACAGAAGAAAATAAGAAAAAAAGATTAGTTCAGCGAAGAGTTCTCTTTTCGGCGAATTCATTTTCAAAGCTGTACAATCGCAAATATATATACTTATATTAACAGGATGATAATAATACTGATAATAAACTTCTGTTATACATGGTGACAGTGAGGTTAAATAAACAAAGGTATTAAAAAATTTTTTTTTAAAACAAGGAAAGTTTGATAGTTGATGGCTTGAGTATCCTTGTTTAAAAAAAATTTTTTTAATACCTTTGTTTATTTAACTTCACTGTCACCATGTATAACAGAAGTTTATTATCAGTATTATTATCATCCTGTTAATATAAGTATATATATTTGTGATTGTACAGCTTTGAAAATGAATTCGCCGAAAAGAGAACTCTTCGCTGAACTAATCTTTCTTTCTTATTTAATGTCATAATGGGTGTATTCCGTTTAATAAAAAGAAGTAAAACAAACGAATATACAAAGTTGATTGTTATCTTCTCAGTGAATCCTCTGTGTTTGTTTCTTGTTTCATTTATACTGTAAGAAATAAAATTTTCAATAAACAAAAGTATGAATTCGTTTATATTGATTTTTCGGAACGTTTCTATGGGGCTGTTTCGGACAGTAATTGATCATTCTTCTTTTTTTTAAGGGTAGGGGAAGATAAGTGTACCCCGTACAGATTGTCTCCATATTATTAGTAGATTATGAACATTTTAAGAGGAGATGGATAGTGGCTAGTAGTGGAATTTGAAAAGAATGAATTTCATTGTTTTTGAGACTCTTCAGTTGAACGTATCGAAATCTCAATATGTTTTTCACTTTAGAGTTCGAATCCAGTACCTTTCAACCTAAGCTTTATATCTACTGAGTTCATATAATTAATGGGATGAAGTCTAATTTATCTGCGTTAATTTATAGAATCTCCCCATTCATTGGAGCTGGTCAGTACAGAAGTAATATTAAGTGAATAAATAAGTTTTGTGGCAAACTGATTTTTTAAAAATAAAATAAATGGCTAGCAACAGAGTTCCGAATTCAAGTTTCATACTATTTGAAACTTATCAAGGGGATACATTTGCCACATATCAGTTTTCATAATAACATTAGAATTCAGATACTCAATGCGTTATCCCCCAAGCTACTCAGTTCAAATAACTTTATACATGTGCAACTAATATATGTTTTTTTCTTCATAAAAGCTTGCGAAACAATGGGTATGTCAAGGCAATCCTTACAGAACGCACATAGCACAACAAAGATTGGTCGACATTCCATCCTACATATTAACAACGCAGTAATTCAAAACAAATTTTCTTTCTACTTTGTTTTATCATATACATTAAGTTTAATTTATAGTTGTTGGAGATAGAAGGGTTTAGACACAATTTTGACTTATTTTTTACAGTGTGATGAATTCATACTTTCTCTATCTGACTGTCTATTAAGGTCTTTAAAACGAAGATCAAATATGTAAAATTCCCTATCAACGAAATCTAAACAACCGTAACATTTCGCTAGAGTCTTGGTTGATTTTCTTCAGGGAAATAATCAAACATCTGAAATTACCAAATATAAGTATTATTTTATAGAACATGGACATAAAAATAAACAACCTGGAAACCATGGTAAAAACTAGGTACTTAGTAGACTTCAGTGGAACTAGACCGACAGCTAAGGCTCTGTATATCTAGGCAAATGTAAGCAATCGAATGATTGATTAGTTGCAGGTTAAGTAATTTTATTCAGGACTATAATTTATAGCGGTATAGTTAAAATAATGAACAAAGAAAACAAGAAAATCGAAATTACAAAAATACTAATTGAATTACATTGAACAAGTTTAAACAAAACGAAAAATGGTTGTGTAGTGAACAGAACATGGGTGGGGACAATCGAATGTATGTAACACAAAATTACAGGACTTGTTAATAGAATCTAAGTAAATGCTTAATTTGCAAAATGTTCATCGATTGTCCCAAAATGACTCAGACTTCATTGTTCTTGCATTTCCATACAAATTGCACTTTGTTTCCATTCTTTACTGTTCGATCCTCTTGTCTCTCTGCCGCCAGACCTTCTGTTCACGACTAACATCATATACTACTTACGTCAATATAAGTAGCACACACTATAGTTGATATGAATGAATAGAGAATTTTAATCAGTTCACTAATAAATAATCTGGCATTTATGTGCATCAGCTTAAGTTAACTTTGCAGATTAATATTAGCGACATTAAATTATCAAGACAAACGTCAGAATGGAGGTAGCTATAGTATTAGTATTAGTATTAGTGGTAGTATTAGTAGTAGTAGTAATGATTATGATTCATGATGGCAGGTTTGACGAAATTAAAAATCTGTGATAAGTCTAAAATATTCAGAATCTGAAGTCCGATAAAAACTGATCTCATCTAATCTTTGACGTGTTTAAAGAAGTATCGTGCCTAACATCACAAGTATTGCATGAACCCTAACTAAGCAGTCTGGAACTAATAAGCTTACTCAGTGTTATATAGTTTAGATTTCAATGCATGTTGACAGTCATCAAGAAAAAGACGTACAACACAATCATGATAGAAATTTATACTAACGTAAAGATTTAATGTTAAGATATTCTATCTATCTAACTATGATACGTCACAATATTTAATTCCTTCGGACTGATAATCACATAGTTGAAATTAAATCTACTGTAAGGATTGTCGGCCATATTTAGTTTTTTTTCAATGTAAGTTAATCCATTGTTTTAATCATACAATTACAATTGGAATAACAATACAGTGATGGATATTATCAGTTCCGTGTTGGCATCAACTTATTGGAAGTAGTATATTTCACTGATAGTTGGTAATAAAAAATTAGGAAATTTAATTCACGTGATATAATTATTGAATATAAGCAAAGATGAATGGTGGCTGGCAGTGAAACCCAGGACGCGTGTTTCGTCATATTTGGGACTCATTAGCTGGATGTACCTGCATCCCAGTGTTGATGTTCTCTCTGGGACTCGAACTCAGTCCTCAAATAGGATGAAACGCGCGTCTGGGATTCCACTGCTAGCCAATATCCACCATTGTTCATAATGTTTTTGAATTAAAGCAATATCGAGGCAATCCACACACTATGGACCTATGTTAATAAGAAACTGATCAATTGCAGACCTAAACATCAATAGGACGATTCAAGTGGACAATATCAAGTGAATTTAAACTTCACCCCATTGCACAAGCAAATGGCTATCAGGACTCAATAGCTAAGTGAATTACGTGATGGCATTTGAAGTGAACGGTACTGATTTTCAGTCCCAGAGTGAAAATCAACTCTGAGATGCAGTTACATCCATCTGACGTGTCCTAACTAAGACGAAACACGCGTCCAGAATTCCATTGCTACCCAATATCCATCATTGTTTATAATGCTTGTGATTTCAGGCAATATCGAGGCACTTATACTAATAAGTGACTGATCAATTGCAGTCCTAAACATCAATCAACAAATCAATAATCAGGAAACTTAAAATAAATAAACATTAAATTTAGTTTAATTAGATAATCATTTTAACAATGGTATCTATATAGATACATCGTTTCATCAAATGAATCTTAAATATCTTTCCAAATTTTCGACCTTTCCAATATTGAACATAACAGATCTTATTGAAAAACAACCGGAATTTGATAAGCTCAATTGACACATTGATACATAGATACATAGATATTTCTTTCTTTCGAGTTGTTGTTATTCAGTATGTGTGTTTTATATTTAAGGTTAAATACGACACATGAATTGATTCATTTAAGAAATTGTATACTTTATTCAATGTAAAATAATTTTCAGTATAGGGGTCTTGGAGATTGTTAAGTTTTGATTGAGATCATGAACCGATTGATGTTAGACCACTATTGAAAACCTGGAAGCACTGGATGGCCGTTTCGTCTTGTTGAGAAGTCCCACAATAGTACGAAACGGTTGTCCAGTGCTTCATGATCTCAAGTAAAATAATTTAATAGTTTAATAGATGAACACACTTGTTTGTTTGTTCTGTTGTTGTTTTTTTATTTCTATGGATTAACATGCAACCTTGGCATTGATTGTATTTCTTTTTATTTAGCATTTCAGCAGTTGAATTGATGAGTTGATTAAAGGTAGATCACTATGAAAAATTGGGAAACATTATATGACCATTTCGTTGTAGTATAGAATTCCTAAGTAGTGTATATCCACGATCTTGTAGCAAGAGGACTTGAACCTAGGACCTTCGGTCTCACGAACGATTAGTCTCTAGACTACTGAGATGGGGTTCAATGGTGTTAATATCTAACTTCAACCAATCCATGATATTGTGCCATCGGTCACCATTGTCTACAGTGAGCAACTGCCTCACAACAGGCACGACTGAGCTCCACTGGTCATAGCTTCCAGGTTTTCTATGGTGGTCTAGCTTTAGTCGACTCATGAATTTAACTATTAAATTGCTACAATCTCGACAAAAACTTACAATCTGATAATTTACAGAAGTGACTGCTTGCGTCAACCATAAAATGTAATCGAAAAATAATTGGGCTGTACTGATATCATCTTTCACGGGAATCAATACACATTTTGGAGTAGTCAGAAGCATTTTTTAATTTATTATCAAAACATTTGATGTGTAAAACTCTTCGATAAGTAATGTAGCCTTTAAATTAGAAATGATAAATTCAAATTTTAAGTGACTCAATGTAGACGTTTGGAAACCCAGAGGCTAGATCCATGTTAGTTGACGCTTTTCCTTAGGAAGCGTCTTGAATTTTAAGGAGATTAACACTCATTGACTGAGAGGTTGAGCTCAATTAGTAGATTAAAACTACCTGTGCAGACGACATATGATAATAGTTGGAGATTTTTGGTGGGATGGTCTGAAATTTACAATCGAATGTCTCATGAGTGGTAACTAATGTCATGTTTATTTAATCATTAATGCTGATCGAATTCTATCGACCA